CCTGGTTCAGCCACACCTCCACCATCCATCCAGCCTAACAGTACTACCCTCTCTAATGTTACACACTTTCAGTATCTCGGCTTCCACCTGTCCACCACCGTGGACATCAATGAAGAGATTCAACATCGGATCACGTGTGCATCTCAAGCCCTTGGTAGATTCCATACCTATGTCTTCAGCTGTAGGGAGCTGAAATTATCTACAAAGATGCACGTATGTAATAGCCCCTGTCTTATAGGCAGAAGTATTTATATAAATGGGTTAATTACGTTTGATTTCTATACTCTACCACCCTCTGTAACTTTCCACTAGTTATGAGGTAGCATGTTCAGAGCACGTGACAAGGTGTGCTCACGGGAAGTCGCGTCACTTAGTGCTGAGCTAAGGCATTAAGTAGCCGGCTCTTTGGCCACCTCTTGCAGAAGTAGTTTGATATCCTTGACTAGAGGAAGACGTTATTGAGAGCCATCGTGAATGGTTCCGTCTTCTCTCGAGGGAGGACGTATATTACCGTTCTCCCTCGACAGGTATTATAAGCACTCTCGCTCAACCCCTCACACCAACAGGAAGTATTTGAGAAGAGCTGTTTAATATAGCCTCCATCCTCATTTAACACTCATAGCTACAGTGTTTAAGTTACGGTGATATACACTTGGAACTGTATATAATATATTATCTTAATAAATACAGAAAGGAGAGTTGGGTTTTGCTACTAAAACCCTATATACCTTTACATGTTCCAACCCCATTAACCCAGCAAGAATCAACGGTTAAAGGGCCAGTTCACATATACCGAGCAGTGGTCCTCCCCACCCTGCTATATGGCAGAGAGACATGGGTCACATACAGGAAGCACCTGAAGGCACTTGAAAACTTTCACCAACATAGTCTACAAGAAAACAATCGCCAGTATTCTCACTGACACGAACTGTAGAAACATCGAGGCTACCATTATCCATAAACAACTACATTGGACTGCCCATGTACCTGCATGCACGGCAGTAGACTGCCAAGGCAGTTCTTTTCAGTCACCTAACTAATTGTAAGCATAACGCTGGTGGGCAACGAAAAAGGTATAAGGATAATCTTTAGACAAACCTGAAAAAATGCCAAATCAACCCCCTCATCTGGGAAACGATCACTACACACCGTAACGCCTGCAGGAGCACCACGCGAGAAGATATCAATATTTTCGAGTTAGCCCGACTGCATACCGAGGCAGACAAGCGCCAGCGCCAGAAGGACGCTGCCGCCGCCCCTCCCGCACTAGATGTAGCCCACCACACGTGTAACATCTGTGGACGGCCCTGTCTCTCCTGTATCGGCCTTTCGAGTCACCTCAGAGCTCACCAACGAAAGTGAAATCCTTAATAACTCATACCATTATATAATAGTTGGATGATCGTCATACTCGGTTCCGAGTGACAGCAAAGTAGTAGTAGTTGTGTTGCTAAGAGATAAAGTTCACCTAGATACGTTGTCTAATCCTTGAAGGTGAAGAGTTTTATAATATACGATAAGGCGAGAGTGAACCAAATTAAGTCTTCTATAGTTTGCTCTGATAGAAATACTTAATAATAGTGGTGTTACTACAACTGTTAATATTATTTAATAATGACGGTAATAGTTGTTAATAATGATGTTAATAGTTGTTAATAATGATGGAAATATTTAGTAGTAATGAATGTAATATTTCATAATAATGATCTTAATAGTTGTTAATAATGATGGAATTAATTGTTAATAATGATGGTAATAGTTGTTATAAGTTAATAGTTGTTAATTATAATGGAAATAGTGGTTAGTAATGATGGTAATATTATATAATGATAATGGTAATAGCTAATAGTTACGGTAATTGTTAATAATGATGGAAATAGTTGTTAGTAATGATGGTATAAGTTGTTAATAATGATGGAAATAGTTGTTAGCAATGATGATAATAGTTGTTAATAATGATAGAAATAGTTGTTAGTAATAATGATAATAGTTGTTAATAATGATGGAAAGAGTCGTTAATAATGATGGAAATATATGATAATGATGAAAGTAGAAGTTAATAGTCATGGTATTAGTTAATAATTGAGTCTCAGCCATTAACTGATGATATTAAAGTCTTGAATACTTACCTGAGTTGAAAGCTTTACCACAGATATATATATATATATATATATATATATATATATATATATATATATATATATATATATATATATATATATATATATATATATATATATATATATATTTATTTATTTATTTATTTATTTATTTATTTGTATTTTTTTTTTACGGGTACTAACCCACCCGGGTACAGGACACTGACCTACATCATGGCTGAGGGGTGAAAATGTAATAATTATAATAATAATAATAACAATAATAATAATAATAATAATAATAATAATAATAATAATAATAATAATAAAAATAATAACAATAACAATAATAATAATATTATTATTATTATTATTATTATTATTATAATTCATTGTAAATAAAATTTATAATAAAAATTACAAAATTAAATTAAAATATGCAAATAATAATGATAATTATAATAATAACAACACTGTAATAATAATAATAATAATAATAATAAAGACCCATAAAAAACAAAAAAACAAAAACAGTATTGAGAAACAATATATGGATGTTGTATTGTCAAAGTAAGAGAAACAATTGAGACCCTGCAATTGTGTGTAAATGAGGCAGAAAGTCAAATCAGCAACTCGGGACTTAGTCACAATTTTTGTGATGCCATATGGCAGCAGGGTCTACCATTAGACAATACATTATGCTTTCAATATCTTCCCAGGCTGAAGTACCTCCCTGTGATGGTCAGCACAAAACTGATATTATGTTACACAAATTTATGTGTCAGTGGCCCAAGGTTAAAAATGTAACACATGATGATTTGTACACTTCTAAGCTGTTTTCCCAATCCATGGGATGATTATATATTATTCCTAACATGAACGAACAGTGCACTGCTTTGAGATGCTGTTCCGATATTGTACTTGTGCTGTTTGATTCTGAGTTGCAATGCTTTCCCAGGCTGACCTACACTACAGTTGCAACATGGAATGCAATAAACACTTCCATTTACATTCAAAGTTGAGCTATTCTTGATTAATATAATGGTAATGATTGAGTCATACTTAAAAACAACATTAATATTTAATAATTTAAGGGACTGAACTAACGGGACAAATTAATTGCGATAAGGCAGAGTCAAAATATTCTTATGTGTAGGAATTTGCCTGGTTTGAGTAGAATAAAAGGATTTTTTAGCCCTTTTAAAACAATGATCAATAAACAATGAAGGGTACCCAAGTTTTGTGCAATGGAACGAATGTGTTTCAGTTCTTCCTCAATAAATTCAGCGTCACAAATGCGCTACCATCTCAAAAACATAACAGAAAAAACTGACATGCACCAGGTATTAAATATTATATCTAATTGGTAAATCTTACGACAAGGGCATAGTGGTTGTGCCAGACTTGCGGAAACAGGCAAATGTAGTACTCATATTCAAAAAGGGAGACAGAGCATCAGCGTCAAATTACCGGCCGATCAGTTTGACTTCAGTAGTGGGGAAATTTCTTGAATCAATTATAGCATATAACATCCGATTGCATTTAGAGAAAAGCAAATTAATCTACGACTCTCAACATGGGTTTACAAAGGGAAAATCTTGTCTAACAAATCTGCTGACATTTTTTAGGAAAGTCTTCGAGATAGCAGATAATGACGAAAATTGCGATGTTATTTACTTAGACTTTAGCAAAGCATTTGACAGAGTACCGCATCAGAGGCTTCTGAGAAAAATTAAGGCTCATGGTATCGAGGGGAAAGTTTTAAATTGGATAAAATCATGGCTCACCGATAGAACGCAGAGGGTCAGCGTAGATGGTGTTAAATCTGAGTGGGGTCGTGTAACCAGTGGGGTTCCCCAAGGGTCAGTACTAGGCCCACTCTTGTTCATAATCTACATAAACGATCTAGATACTGGGATCAGCAGTGACATAAGCAAGTTTGAAGATGACACCAAAATAGGGGGCCAGATTAATACAGGGCAGGATGCAAATGAATTACAGGAGGATCTAAATAAACTGCAGGGGTGGTCTGAAAAATGGCAAATGAAATTCAACACCAGCAAGTGCAGCGTACTTAATATTGGAAGAACAAATACTGTCAATGTACAGCCTTAACAACATCGACCTAGAGAAGTCGACTTGTGAAAGGGACCTAGGGGTACTTGTAAGCCCAGGACCTACGGCCTCGAATACAGTGCGTTAATGTTCGAAATAAGGCAAACAGAGTATTGGGTTTTATATCTAGAAATGTAAGTAATCAGAGTGCAGAGGTCTTATTGCAACTATATCTTGCGCTAGTCAGGCCGCACCTCGATTATGCGGTTCAGTTCTGGTGCCCTTATTATAGAATGGATATCAATTCACTAGAGTCGGTGCAGCGAAGAATGGCGAAAATGATTCCGGGACTTAGAAACCTTCCATATCAGGATAGGTTAAAGAAACTTAACTTGCATTCCCTAGAAAGGCAAAGAGTGCGGGTAGATATGGTAGAAGTACAAGTGGGTGAAAGGAATCAATAAAGGTGATATAGATAAAGTTCTTATAATATCCGAGCAGGATAGGACTCGGAACAACGGATTTAAGTTCGATAAGTTTAGGTTTAAGAGGGAGATAGGAAGGAACTGGTTTACAAATAGGGTGGTGGACGAGTGGAACAAGCTTAGCAACTTTGTAGTAAGTGCTGGAACGCTGGAAAGTGTCAAAAGGAGGCTAGATAGATTCATGGATGATAGAGAGTGGCAGTAACTCTCGACAGGAGCTGCCATGCACAGGCCAACCGGCCTATTGCAGACTCCTTATTTTCTTATGTTCTTATGTTCTTATAAAAGTAAGAACAGAAAATGTATTTTGTAAAGCTGGTGAGATATGAAATAAGAGAGAATACACAGGTTTCATACTTACTAGTAATAAACAGATATACTGATAATGAGTTGCAGAGGTACAGGTCGGTCCACGAGAGGTAAAGGTACTGGCACAGTGCACTTCGGCCAAGGTCCTGTAGTGTTCGTCAGCCCTCCGAGACGTTGATTACTCAACCAAGATTTCTTGTTTTCTTTCGCTAAACAATGAAGATACGTACACGCTCTCATAATCTTTATCTGACACTTGGTAGATACCAGGCAGTGTGTGGTTATCTTAGAAGCGCTTGCTTATATATACAGGTATTTACCAAATAACCGCATAATTAAGCCACATTTGGTAAAACGTTACTCTGCTCACCTAAGAGGCACGTATAATGAGACAAATCTCACAAGAAGAAGATTACATATATACAAATAGAATATTTAGTAAGAGAGTATAAAGAGAGGAAGACTTTGGTAGCGTGGCCGTGTTAGTTATTTGAACTGGACTTACACTTGTCTTATCTCATACGTCAACACACATCTATTACGTTCTTAAGGACGACTTCTCAAACACCGCTTGCTTCGTTACAACTGTTTATTAATTACGACAATGACATGGACACATTAATAACACCTTCTATCGAAGTTACTAGGACATTATATTTACGTTACTAGGACATCATATTACGTTACTAGACACTGATTCTCGAACACGAACATGAAATGAATACACTTCCCACGTAAGTAACTCATCCCATGGAAAGCTCTGACAAAAACTCACGTGACCTAGGGGAGGCCTTGCAGGGAGACTGCTTAGCTGGAACACTGGTGTCGGGAGGGCGACTGCTTAGCTGGGACACCGGAGGGAAGTCGGGGAGGGAAGTCTTGCGTGACTCTCCTCCCGTGAGCGGGACTGGGTTGTGGTGGACCTCCTCCTCCGATCCCTGTGAGTCTCTCTCTCTGATTCTGTCTCTCTGACTCCCTCTCGCTGCTCCACCTGAGGGAGGGCTACGAGCGGGACTGGGGACGTAGTTGCTGGCCCTTCTTGGTTACAAGACACACTCTCCTGAGGGAGGACTAGGACGTCCTATATATTGGAAGACCAGCCGTCAGGTTGAGCTGATCAGGGGGGCGGCGAAGGGTCTCCTTACATTTGCCCTCGCTAATGTAGGGTCAGGTCTGGACTTTTTCTGAGACTATAAGTTGTTGTATATTCTGGAGAAATCTTCAGAAGAATGCTTGGCTGTTAACATCGTTGGTGGGGCCGTGTGACATGAGAGGCTCTGGTTGATTTGTGGCCCCTTGACTTGGGCTCGAGGGTTACATTTTACCTGGCTAATGTGAGGTTAGGTCTGGGCCTTGTCTGAGATGTACTGTAGTTGTGTATATTGGGAGAGAGTCGGTAGGTGGTTTCTTACATGTTTGTTGGAGCCGTGTGACGTGTGGAGGGGAGCCTGGTTGATTTGTAACCCTTGGGCAGCCGCGAGGGTTACCCTTACACTTGACCCCCCTAATGTCGGGTCAGGTCTTGACTGTTTCTGAGATGTAAGCTGTGGTCTGACAACCCATCACTACACACGGGTACTCCCCATTAGAGGTTCACGGCGCCATAAGCTCGTTGAACAGGCTTTGTGTGAAATATAACAGAGTCTAGGGCTGCTTTTAGTGTCCTGGTGGCCCAGAGGTAACGTTCCCCGGTCACAGGATCGTGGGTTCGAATCCTGGAGGGGTGAGGTGTTGAATATATATATATATATATATATATATATATATATATATATATATATATATATATATATATATATATATATATATATATATATATATATATATATATATATATATATATATATGTAATATTCAGAAATTTCAAATGCCCGCCATTAGCGATACTGAGCTTTCAAGGTCGTCTGAGGGAAGAGAGCGCTCCCCGCACATAGTGGGAGGTTGTGGAACTAGGCCTATATGATATTAAATGTAATTTGCCGAATTAATAATGATGCGATTCATGAAGTTAAGGGATTATTATTGAATTTGAAATTATTATAGATCGTTTATCAGTCTGAATAATGTCACGGGTGTCCCAAGGAGTTATTAGTTAGGCGGAAAATATGTCACGTAGGCCTAAGCTAGCGCCTTGGAGAGACGCGACGCTGGCTGGTCCTCAGTCACGTGAAAGCGATTGGACCTACAGGACATCCCTGCGCGTCCGTCCACAGAAATAGTCACGTGGTCTAGTCACCTGTGCTGCGCTATTGCAGTATAACAAGTAAGTCTCATTCAATCTCAGACAGGGTTAGATAGAGCAGTGATAAAGTTAACAAGAGCTAACAGTGAGTTCATTTCAGGGTTTCCGTCAGAACCCACTTGACTGCGAGAGTGAAGACTGCGAGAGATTGACTGCCGTTTGAGACTGCCGTTGATGATTGAGGGTGGCGATTGTCGCCATTGGACCGATCAGTGTAGGCCTGTCACTGTTTAGTGGGGTATCAAAGGATCTCTTGAGTGAATCTAGCCGTCTGGGTGCCCAGCTGACGACGGGACGATCGTTGGGGTCATCAGCTCTCCTCTACCTCGACTCACAATACCACATGTCTCAAGCAGCTTAGTGAAACCCTCTTGCTAACGGGAAGCTAAAGCTTCTCTCAACTGTACAAGGTCTGATTGGCTCACTCCCTTCCGCTTCATGGATGTACTGGGGGTAAAGTGAAGCTAGCTGAGTGATACAGGGTCGCACACTGGGGCCAAGAGTCAGTGGAGTTTAGAGGTACACTTTCCAAGGTGGAGAAAGGCTGATTGGGCCTTCAACTACGGGTGCCTGTTGGTTGTGCCTTAAACGACTACGGAGTGCAGGTGGAATCTGTGTGTGTGTTAGGTTAGGGAGCATGGTTCACGGGTATTGGACTCAGTAACGTCTTTATAATAGTGACAACATTTTTGTGTGTAGTTAATACTATTTTTTCAGTCACAAATGTATGCTGTGTGCATTTAAAATTTCTTTATAGTTTCAATCTCAGATATAACCTTTGTTCCCCAGAGTAGTGTTTAAGTTAGGTTAGGAGGTGTGCATCTGTTGGTGTAACATAATTATATTGAGTGCCCTTAAGGCCTATTCATTGTAGAGTTATTAATTTCTTATTTTTTTAATACCATTTTCTCAGAGCTTGATATAATTTTGTTGAGTGCCCTTAGGGCCAATTCATTGTAGAGTTATTAATTTATCATTTTTTGATACCATTTTCTCAGTGATTGATATTATTTTGTTGAAAACCCTTAAGGCATGCATCTGTTGGTGTAACATAATTATATTGAGTGCCCTTTAGGCCTATTCATGGTGGAATTAATAATTTCTTATTTTTATACCACTTCCGCAGTGGTGGATATTATTCTGTGAAAACCCTTAAGGCCTGTTTCATGTGTGCAAGCAACATTTCTTAATACTTTAAATTTATTGTTGCCTGAGTTTCTAATAATTTCAATATCATGTATAACTTTTATTCCCCAGAGTAGTGTTTTAAGTTCAAGTTAAGAGGTGCGCATATTGGTGTACCATTAATTGATTGTGTTTGTAGTGTTGGAGGGAATATAAGTGTCTAAATTTTACAGTGTGTCTCATTCATCCCAGTCACAGACGCTATCCTTCCACGGGTCACGGACAAGTCATTTTGTTTAGTAGATTTAAGTGCTCTTGTGCTGGTTCGGGATTTTTCTCAAAGGGGCGCTTCCACTGCCATTACCATCTAATAATCTTTAATAAACCCCAAGTCAAGTGAGAAAATAAAGTCCAGTAAATTCCGACCGGTTACATATATATATATATATATATACGTATATATATGTATATATGTATATATATATATATATATATATATATATATATATATATATATATATATATATATATATATATATATATATATATATATATATATTTATATATATATGCTGATAACCACAAGGAAAGAAGAATACACGAAGTTCCCATGCGCTTTCGTGTAATTCACATCTTCAGGGGTGAGTACAGACTAAGGAGAAGTACAAAACAAGGTATATTTATACAGAGGAGGGTGAGATCAAGTCCACAGTGGTCAGGTATTAGGTAATGACCTTGTGGTTATCAGCATATACCTGGATCACGCGCACCCACAGTGATTTACTTGCATGCATATATATATATATATATATATATATATATATATATATATATATATATATATATATATATATATATATATATATATATATATATATTTCATTTTTAGTCCATATAACACGCGGACTTTGAACATATAATCAACGACCTCACCAGCCAGGACTCAAACCCTCGACCTAATGCATGGGACCAGGGAACGTTACCGACCATACCACAAGAGCACTAAAAGCAGTTCTAGACTATGTGATATTTCACACAAAGCCTGTTCATCGAGGTGATGGCGCCGTGAACCTCTCATTGGGAACTGCCCGTGCTGCTTATGTGGATGTCAGAAGCATTTTACCGAATCCAGCTGGTATGAAACACGAGGTACCATGTATACTTCATTTTTAGTCCATATAACACGCTGACTTTGAACATATAATCAACGACCTCACCAGCCAGGACTCGAACATCATCATATATATATATATATATATATATATATATATATATATATATATATATATATATATATATATATATATATATATATATATATATATATATATATATATATATATATATATGTGTGTGTATATATATGCTGATAACCACAAGGAAAGAAGAAAACACGAAGTTCCCAAGCACTTTCGTGTAATTCACATCTTCAGGGGTGAGTACAGACTAGAGAGAGTAATACAAATCAAGGTGTATATATACAGAGGAGGGTGAGACCAGGTCCACAATGGTCAGGTATTAGGTAATGACCCTACTAATCTTTAAATAGCACACAACGGTTGGTGGTCAGGTCAGATGGTCAAGAGACCCGGCCTTCTCACCTGATCACAAATCTTCTTAATTACAAAATTGTCCAGCTTGTACATGCCGTTACTCAAATTCAGTTGAATGCTTCGGTATGTTTAATAAGACTAGATTCTATGATGTTCCTACTATCAATTGAATTACATGGTAATATTGAGGAGGCATTATCCCAGTCAATGCAATGCTTGTTATCCCTCAAATGAACAAACAGAGCATTGGATTCCTGGCCTGTCCTAACACTGT